CAGAAACATGTATTATAGAGGAATCCATACATGTTAGATTTGATTATAAGCTTGACCCTAAAAAGTCAAAGTTAAGTGAACAAACTACAGATGTAGAAATAAGACTTGCAGGTTCTGAAGAAAGAACAAATACAAGTAACAAGGATGATGAAACACCAGATCCATCTGAAAACTCAACTATTCAGAAACGACATAAATTGAGACAAGATCACTCTGAAGAACTCATTCTGGGAAACAAGGCAGAACATGTGAGAACAAGATCCACCTTCAAGCAACCTGAGGAAACCATTCTAGGATTAGTTTCTCTAATTGAACCAATATCAATTACAGAAGCACTTCAGAATAATGAGTGGATCCTGGCAATGCAAGAAGAACTTAATAAATTCTCCATAAATGATGTCTGGGATCTGGTACCCAAACCCAAAGGAGTTCACATTATAGGCACAAAGTGGGTTTTCAGAAACAAGCTAAATGAGAAAGGTAAAGTTGTCAGAAACAAGGCATGACTAGTTGCTCAAGGGTACATTCAGCAAGAAGGTATTGACTATAATGAAACCTTTGCTCCAGTCGCCAGGTTAGAATCTATCTGTCTACTCATTTCATTTGTTGTTCATAACAATATCACATTATATAAAATGGATGTTAAAAGTGCATTTTTAAACGGGTATATTTCTGAAGAAGTCCATGTTCATCAACCTCCTAGTTTTGAAAGCCTAACATCTCCAGAACATGTCTTCAAATTAAAGAAATCTTTATATGGACTCAAACAAGCTCCTAGAGCATGGTATGAAAGATTAAGTTCCTTTTTACTTGATAATGGATTCTCAAGAGGACAAGTGGACACAACACTCTTATGTAAAAATAATGGAAACAATCTTATAATATGTCAAATGATTGATGATATTATATTTGGTTATGCTAATCCATCTGTCTGTTGATAATTTTCTAAGTTAATGCAGGCAGAATTTGAAATGAGCTTAATGAAAGAACTAAAGTACTTTCTGGGGATTCAAATTATTCAAGCAATAGAAGCTACATATATTCATCAAGGAAAATACACCAAGGAAATTCAGAAAGATCAAAAGGAAGTCAAGGAAAGACTTGACAAGCAAGATGAAGTTAATGCTAATCTCCAAGATCTACTTGCCCAGCTTAGCAAGAGCGCCTTAGCAAAAAATCCTTAAACCTTCTCTTGTTTTTAGTCTTATCTCTTTTTTGTCCTTATACCTTCTACATTTTCAATGAAAATTCCACTTTTTTTTATTATGACAAAAAGGGGGAGTAACAGATGATTTTTTTTATATATACGTATTCTCGCATAACTCCATGCTCACATTTCATATAATCTTTTCTTCCAAAAAGTGTTTCTAAAATATTGCAGGAAAAGCGAAGAAATCTCATACCCAAATTATGTAAAAGAGAAATCACTCTCAGAAAGAAGCAAATATTAGACTCGGGGGGAGTCTGTAATCTTAAGGGAGTTCTCTAAATATAATTTCAAATTGTAATGTATTATTTTGTCATCATAAAAAAGGGGGGAGAATGTTAGAGCAAGGAAGCTTCTAACCATTTCTAAGTTTTGATGATAACAATTATATGTGAAATTATATGTGTGCATGTCAAGTATTATAAAATCCAGGTGTATCTAATGAAACATCAAAAGTTCCACACAGACCAAGTCAGAAGCATTCTAGCAAAGTTAAAGAAAGCTTAGCATCAAAAGCAACGCTGACCAAAAACTCTAAGTTCTGCAGAAACTATCAGTATATAAAATCATGTGATCAGAAACACATTCAAAAGATACATTTAGAAGCATCAGATGAGAAATTACTATTCTCGAGGCAAACACAATGATTACTTATCTCAAACAATATCTTGGAAACTTGGAAAGAAGTAAAGACGCCCCCAAAAGTAAAAATCATTACATCGATGAGGAAATGCGTATTGAGGAATCGACTCAACGTGTCTAGCTAGCCTAACAAAACTTTTCAAAATGGCTATAAAAGGATCTCCACACTGTGTGAAAGAAATGATAACAAAAGACGTGCTACAACATTTCACACATATGCTCAAATTCTCAATCAGTTACAAAATTCATTTACACTGAGTTGTTGCTCAAAAGTGTAACTTCATTAGATAGAAAATTTAGTGTTTATCAGATTTATAGAAGCATATTTTTGTAAACACAAAACAGTATTCTATGTGTAAGTTTGTACATTCTCTCAACTGACTTTCTAGTCTGTATACTTGAGAGAGCTAAGAGGTCTTTCTAGACTCTTAGAGGTTATTGTGTAATCTTTTGAGATTAGTGAGTTTAGTCCTTGTTGAAGGCGAAATCATCTTGGCAGGTGGACAAGAGGTAGCCTTAGTTTTAAGGTGAACTTGTATAAAAATAACTATGTTATTTTTGTTTGGTTTTTTTCACAATAACTATTTATCATTGTGTGCTAGTGATAAAACAAAGTTTTTTAGAAAGAAATTTTAGAAAACCGTTCAACCCCCCTTACTTATGTTTTCTCTAACCTCCAAAATCTTGTTTTAGTAGGAATATATTTTAGAGGGCTTACTCTTTATAAGGTAGGACTTCGGGATTTGGCCAATGACTCTTTGTATAACCCCAAAACAAAGTCTCACGATGAGACCTTGAATGACCTAAGAGATGAAAGTTTTGGTCTACAAAGAGGCACCGCTTAAGGGAGGTCCTTGTGTATTTCCCTCTAGTTTTTTACCTGATACCCTTAGGGAAGCAACCCTTATGGGGAGAGTAGAATATCTGTAGGACGAAACTAGGAACCTATCTACTAAGGATACCTTTTATAATCCCATTTTTGTTATTCCAAAACTGGGATAGGGTATTCACTACCATAAACCTGTATAAGTTATTCACTACCCTAAATCCATAAGGGTTTCCTCTTGGTTATCATAATCCCTAGCCTGTAGGGATTTCCCTTTATATGTCACGATCCCTAGCCTGTAAGGGTCCCTTTCGTTTTTCATAATCCTTAGCCTATAGGGGTTTCATTTTAACTGTCACCCATAGGGCTTTTGTTTGTGTTATATTCCCTAGCTTGTAGGAGTTTCCTTTTGTATATATATATATATATATATATATATATATATATATATATATATATATATATATATATATATATATATATATATATATATATATATATATATATATATATATATATATCTCTAAACTCGTATAGAGTGTCTTTATGTCTATCTTTATCGTTATACCATATTGCATTGCATCTCCATGAAAATAAATTTAGCATGACCTTAAAAATAAAAAATATTTTTTTGCATACCCATGCATTTGCATACATACACTTGCATATCATTAAAATACATTTGCATATCCATTTCCACATTTCCACTATCCAATCATTCAGATAACAAATTTCCTGACACTCAAGATCAAACTCGGAGCATGTCTCAAAAAGTTGAGGAACTCAAAGAGATAAAAGTCTTATTGGAGAGAGAAGACAACCCCTCGCCATGACAAATATAGGCCTACACAGCCCCTCAAAATGCCAATACCATGGGGGATTCCCCCACATCAAGAACAATTTCCATACCAGCAAAATTGGTATGCCCAAGAGAAGGAGAGACAAGGGTCACCCCTTACTTCAACAATGCAAGAGTATCAAGAAACATCTCTTAAAGTCAAGTGGATCAACAAGAAAAAAGCTTTCCATATGATCATTAGACTTTATCAATTACAAATTGTAATTTTCTAGTTTCTAAGTTTCATTTGTTGCAACTTTGTATCTTTTGACTAGTAATTCGAATAATAAGAGCATGCACGTTTTCGAAGTTAATTCATTCATTTCACTCTTTCATCACTTTCCATATATAATCAATGACTTTTCCATTTCGACTTTTCCATAAATAAAATACATTTAAAATTCTCCAAACAAATTAAATAAATTTATTCGCCTAGCGTGATTTAATTCCAATGAAGATCAACTCTTCTTCAATCCACGAAATCAAAATATTAAAATAGCTAACTAAGTTAAATTACTTTTTTTTCACTAACTTAATAAAAATTCAAGATCATTTTCGAAAAATGATTAAATAGAATTATTATCAAACTTAACTGCGAACTGCGTCTACGATCACTCACTTTTCAAACCCAGACAAGGTTCAAGGATAATTCGAAAGCAATTTTATACAATCCTATATAAAACACCAACCAAACATACGAATTACGAAATTTGACTCTGATTCTTTTCAAGGAGATACATAGGCACGCAATTAAAACTAAGGCGAGTACTGCTATTAAAAAATTAAATAATTTTCTCAAACATATGGAAACAATAAATATTAACTACCAAATCCATATTTTACCCTTAAACCTAAAAGCGGAGCCCCTTGAGAACAAGAAAGATGAAGGGGGCCTAACACCTTTCCTTCGTCTAACCAACTCACGAACTTAGAATCTCAAAACAATTAGGGTTGCCCATTATTCTCTCGTCCTTAGGATAAAAATTAATGGTGGCGACTCTCTTATTTTTTCTTTTGTCGGTTACGACACACTGGATATGTTTGTTTTTAAGTAATTCATTTGTATTCACTCAATTTTTTTCCTGCATTTTGATATTGACCTTTTGCTTATGCATAGATTGGAGGGAGGATGATGAAAGTGAAAAACACAAAAATTTCTGGTTGTATGCTTTTGAATAAAACCCTACTGGTGATGTACAAACATTGTTTCAAATTCCCAAACACCGGAGATATAAGGAATATAGTCCCTCTTTAACCTCTTTGAGTCTTGAAGTAGGAGTTTCTTTTCTAAACGAAAAAAAACCCCACCTTTAATCGGGGTCTTGAGAAGGGAGATAAATTCTGGAAGGATTGCTAAAAGAAATATATTTGTAAGTCTGCTTGTATGAAAAAAGATAGTTGGTTTACTGGTAATTAAATGTTTGATATTAAGTTTAATTTATATTGATGTGCAACAAATGCCCCAGAAAATGATAAGAGATTGTCTTATGACCGGACGTAAGACGATTAAAATTGTTGATTCGGATACAGATTTGAAGTACGACTGTGTGCTACACCGTAATGAAAGGAAGTATTGTGTAGAGAAGTACATTGGCCATGGCTGGTATGATTTTGTCAAGAATAGAAAGTTGGTAAAAGGGGACAGGGTTGCATTCATCTTTCGGATGCCTCAGGCAGAGCAACTGGTTCTTACTGTTTTGAACCGTGAAAACTTGGTTCATTGATTGCTAAGATGGGAGGGGTTATGTTGATTCCCTGGATATTTAACATTTAGGATGTGCAGTATGTTGTATTTTGGTTATTCAGTTAGAAGTAAAAAAGTGTTGTGTAATTCTGTTGAAGTAACTTTGACCTTTAATTGGTTATGAATGTTTAATATTTTGATGGCAATGGTCGATGACATTTTTAAGAATGTTAATGTTGTATCTATCACGCGTATCCATTTTTGTTGTAATGTTTTGCTACTATGAACTCTTGTACTACATTAAAAGGAAAAAATGATGAAGACAATGAGTTATGTGCACGTTTTTATTTCCAACCATACTTTTCGACTATTCAAAACCTGTGCTATAGGCTATTCACCAACCAAACCCATAGATATATTCCAAATATTATTATAAATACATATTGTTCAAGCCTTTGAATGGGCATTGCACATATGTATTGTTGATACTGCATGCATAGTATCATATCATAAGATATTGGGTTGATTATCCATGTTTTATTAAATATATTTAGAACCAAATGCATTCAAATAATAAATTCAGTAAGGTGACCATTTCATTCCCATAATCCATTTTTTATCTCATTACCATAATTTATATTTATAAATCAAATAGTTACCACTTAAGCGTAAAAAGAAATCAATATGATATTTTTGAGGAAAAATATCATAATTGAATACCTGAAACATAGAAAGAGAAAGTTACATGCAAATGATATTTGTGAAACACCGAAGGAAAATTCGAATGCAAAGAAAGCCAAAGGTGTTTTCGGTGGTGGTGAATCTTTTGTTATTCACATATCTTCCGACAGTGAAAGGTATATATTAATTTATATAATATAACAGTTTAATGTTTAGTTATAATAGATTGTATTTGTGTGTTACAGTTTATTTTGTTTCCATGGTTAAATGTGAAGTAAACATTTAAGCTCTATTGATGTTATATGATTGAGGGTATTCTTTAAAGTATGTGTAATGTATAATTTAGAGTGAAAGTGCAAAATTGTTTTTCAATATAGTATTTGAAATTCTGGTATACATATTACAAATATTATAAATGTCCTAAATCATGTTGAGACATTGATCTCTGTAACACATGGACATAATACAACATACTGATATAAACATATTAGAATAGACTGATACAACCCTTATCAGTTTGAAACCGTGACAAATGTTCCAACATCCTACACGACATGTTGATCAATCAAGGACAAAATTGAACAAAATATAAAGATAACAACACACATATATGATGACCCAATTCAGTGGAAACACACCTATTCTGGGGCTTACCAAGCCAGGAAGGAAGTTCACTATTAGTAGTATTAGTTCAAAGCTAAACTCTCTCGTTTACAACTACTCGCTTAATCCCTGCCCAATGCAACTTCTACCTAGGAACATCCTAAATATGAGAAATCGACATCCCACTTCCTAAATCACCTTTGTGATATCTATATCAATTATAACCAGTTCAGTCAAGACTCTTGATTAACAATCATACTTGGATTTTCTTCAAATCTCCATCTAAGAACAATATACATTATATGTTTAAAAGCTTAAGAATGAACAATATATAATTACAACTCTATAACATCAGTCCTACTCTCATACCAACATGATATTTGAGAGGCTCACATATACCAACTCTCCTAGAGAGTGGCTTACAGACTCAACCGTAACGATCTAAACTTCTATATTTTTGGCTGGTGCTTTTTCTAGGTTAAAAACCTTCAATTTATAAACATCTTCTGGTCTGGATTGGGCTTAAAACCGCAGTTGATCTGAAGCAAATAAAGTTGCAAATATATCTCCTAAATTACAAAACTTCTTATCATTAGTTTCCTAATTTGTCTCCATAATTAAAAACTAATGAACTCCTTGAAACCAGCTTGACTCTTCTTCAATCTTCAAATCAGCACCACATGAGGTATCATAATATTCCCAGAATATTCTACATTTGTTAAATCTAAAACTAATCCAACAGCCTAGCCCAACATAATCACGATGTCAAGTGACTCTCCATTAGGACATCTCATCTGACATGTTGCTTCAGTTAATGAAACATTTCAACTCAACATGTTTCTTCATAAAATAAGCCTTCTTTAGAATGTCCTATCAAATATAATGTTGTTATTGTACCCCAAAATTTTCCCTCCCATTTTCACTTAAGACATGCCTCTAGAGTTCCACAATTGCCCTAGGATGACCAAGAATTTACCAGACAAATTCTCCTCTTAAGGCAATGAATCTCAAATTAGGGTTTCAATTTCAAGCAAGATGTAGGAATCCAAAGGATCCCAAATGTTCTCGATTGTCCTAATATGTCCTCAAGATCACCCATGCCAAATTTCACGCCTTGAACGACAAGTTTGCTCAGTCAACTGCTCAAGTATTGGAAAATCAACTATATTAGGTCAAAAGTCAACTGTGGCCCAAATACAGTCAAACTTCAAGATTTTTGGTCAACATCAACATTTTGAAGTATTGTCCATCATTTGATCAAGGATTGATCATGATTCTTCAAGAAATGCTCCTAACTCATCAAAAGTCAAAAATGGCAAATTAGTGTTTCTATAGGAAAAGTCAACCAAAGTTTGACCAAGCATTACTTTCTCATACTTTATCAAAAACTTTCCAACCAAGGCTCATTTTGAAGAGAATATAATTCCCTACAACTCCTCTTTAACCCTCAAGTCCAAGAAATGCCTCAATCAAATGATACAAGTCCATACATTATAGGTCCTTTAAAAAAGTCAACAAAAACACCTTTTGGGTCAAAGCTCCTTACATGAACATGGAAGATCCAATTGAGATGAAACAAAAACGCTTGTTTAGAGAACATCCTAAGCTCTCTAAAAAGTCTAAGAACACCCTCTTAGGGTTAAAAATGAGGGAGATATGCATTGCTAAAGTTGACCATTTTTGGAAAAGTGCATGAAGCAAATAATGACCCAACTTGAATTTTTTCCCCAAATGGGCCCATGTTTTCATGCTTGAATCTTATTCCTAACATGATCCACGACACCTGAGCTCACTCATACATTATTTCATTATTTTTATTATTTGTTTTGATTTTTTATTTATTAAAATCAAAATAAATCAAATAAAATAGTGGAATAATAAAATAAAATCCAAGATTTGATTTTATGAGCACATGGTGAGTCTATAATCAGCTGGAAAATCAAAGATTTCGTGCAAGTGGTGATTGGAATAAAAATAGCAAGATTTGGACTATTTTAGAAACAAGAAATACAAGACACAAATCAAATCTTTTCTCACTCAATCTTCAAGATTTAATTCAGTTTTGTTAACCTAATTCGTTCTACTATATATGCATAACATTTCCATACCACAAAAAGAGAGGATTGTCCGTGTGGAATTGAAAAAAAAATCAAAATTTTGACAAGAAAGTGGTGATCGGATTTTTGTCTACAAGGAGATTCAAGGACTTTCAAGGCTAGATATCAATTCATGGCAGTATTTGGGAGTTATCTGGACCATTACCACGCCTCAACACACCCAGAAACGCCCCATACCAGTACCACGGTTTTCCTCTTTTCTTGAATTTGGTTTTGACTATACACGCATGATAAATGAATTCTAAATATATATTCATGTTTGTATAATAATTTAGAACATGTTTGCACAATTAATTGTGTGTTTTGATGCATATTTGACTGAAGGCCATTGTTAGGCTTTCAAGGTTCTTTTTAGGGTTTTTCGTTTCAGGTAAAATCAGGGCAAAAGATGAGTACCATTGTACTCACGAGATCAAACCCAGTTGATCTGTATACTTGGATCAAATTTATATTGCACGGTTGTGATTTTGGAGATATCCAAGTTTATAGCTATAACACATGTTCGTAGGTAAAAAACCCTCGCCTAAAACGACAATCCCTTGGAGAAGATGAAGGCGTGTCAAAACATGAGTGGCCAGTTTGAATGGAGCGCACTTTTATTTATCACTACTGACCATTATTAAATATAATGTATTGTGTTTATATTATTCAACAACTGAAACGTTGGCTCAGTGGTACAGGTGAAAGGTTTTAAAAGCGCACGTGTAGGAGGTCAGGGGTTCGATCCCTGCCTCATACATAATATTTTTCTCAACATTTCCTTGCAGATCCTATGCATTTATCATAAGCGTGCTCATCATACGCCTCTAGATCCATCACCATTGGATCATCTGCGCCTAGATCAAACGTTTCTAATGAAGCTCCTCATGGTGGACCCTCCTAGAACAACCCCACTGAATCCTAAATCTGCTATGGGCCACAGAAGATTGGGCTTTGGACAAAAATTCAATTTGCAACCCCAGTTTGGGCTCATACCCCCTCAGGCCCATTCTTTTCTCTTTTATTTAATTCTCTTTTGTTATCTAATTATTTCAATTGTTTTTTTTTTAATTTCAAATCATTTTTTTAATTAGAAAATAATCACAAAAAAATAGGACGTAGTTTTTTTATTAAATTAATTTTTTTTCAAATTAATTAATTTCATCAACTTTAATTTATTTTTCATTAATTAAAATCAAATAGGAAAATTGGGTCAAATTCAAATCTTTTTCATAAAAATCCCAAAAATATTTTCAATGATCAAATTAGGGGTTTGAATCTTTTCTCCAGTTTTTAATTCTCACGCTTTATTATTTTTGTCGTACGATTATTTTTCATTATTGATGTAACTGCGTCTGGGTTTGTAATAGCTTAGTTAGGGTTTTATTTCCGCACTTTACTTTCAGTAATTATTTATGTATCTACACCAAAGCCTTGTAATAGCGTAGGACCCTTTATTTTCTCGCTTTTATATTATGTATGCTTGTATATAATTGTTAGCAACCTAGGCGTGCATGATTAATCAACCAATCAGTAGATCACTGAATTGCAAGATAAATATCTGAAAAAACACATTGTTGCACACTTGCACCCTTAGGGTAAACCTCACTCGGCTGCCTTCGAATTACGGTTACAATTCTCGAAACATGAGAATTCTTAG